GATGAAAGGTATTCATACTGAAGGAAAAGAACCGTTGAAAAAAAGAAATCCACCAAAAACTAGGGAAGAAGCAAAACAAAGATACAGACAAGAATTAGTTAAAAAAAGGAATGATATAATACAAGCCAATCCTGAAACATTCCGCAATGGAGAACTGGGAACCGAGAATGGAACAGGAACAGGAGCAGGAATGGGAAGAGGAACAGGAGCAGGAATGGGAAGAGGAACAGGTGGAGGTGGAGGAAGAGGAACAGGTGGAGGTGGAGGAAGAGGAGAAAGAAATGAGATGCAAGAAGAAGAAGAATTTAAAGAACCTGAAAAACCATCCGGACCCAAAAAGAACATTCACACAATCTTCACAGGAACATCTACTGGAAGCAGAGGAACCAAGAGTTTGGGTGGAAATGTACATGGATTCAAATAATGCTATTAGCCTATTATTATTGCTGTTGTTACATGTATCTTTATTTTTATTGAGATTTACTTTTATACTATAATTAACCAAGTGTAACCAATTACCATGCATAAGACTTTGCATTAATTGAAAGTACCATTCATAATTATAAGGAAATATGTAGTATCCTTCAGTATAGTGGTCAGTAGTGTTAAATCACACTAGATCTACATATTATCGCCATAAAAGGATTGATGTGCAACTACTGTATATACAGTAATTGAGCCACTGAATTTCAATTACACGATGTTGGAATATAAGAAATAAAAATAATTAATAAAATAGCAGCAAAGCTACACTGACAATATTTCTTGTTCATAAGTTAGATCAGTCCTTGATACTTCCTCTTCTGCTTGTAGGCATATAAAGGACAGGTTCTGACAGTATAACAACAAACAATACAAGTGATCAGTGCACAGAGACATGTCAAGAAAAAGAATCCAAATACTGAAGATAAGACAATAACAAGAACATCAGCTCCTACATAATGTGCAATAATACACAGTATACTCACTGATAATGTATTACCATGGATACGACAAATGAATTCATTACCAGACAAAAGAGTGTCACCATCAGTTGATACAAAAGCTAATAATAACAATAATGAATGTGTGCCATTTCAAGTATACATGTACATGTATATAGTGTCATATGTTGTATTTACTCACTGCATGAGAGACTGATGTCCATTGCATGACCAGCACAAGGTCCTGATGTTACTTCTGACTGATCATCATTGACACAATTAGTACTGAAACAACTCTCAGATTCAGTACATGTAATATCATCAACCCACACTGGAGATGTCATTGAACTATAATCACAATAACATATAATGTACTTCTATAGTATATGCAGCTTTAGCAGTGACCAGAAGGCTGTCTGGAGGTGTGTGTATAAGTAATGTAATACCTGAGGACTGAGATATCTGCTTGAGGTGAAGCTGAGGGCAGATATCAAGGGACTCAGGTATTACATTATTGATATGCAAGAATGCAAGATTCTACTGAACTAAAACTATAGACTGATAAACTGTTAATTAATGTTACCTGTCCCTGTGTGTTCATTATGCAGACTGTGTTGGTTCTATTAGATACTACAAACTGGTCGG